GCAGGAATGTACACATTGTCTGCATGACATCATTACGGATAACATACACAGGTGTGAGTATTGACATTTCTTTTCATTCATAGCAATTGTGAATGTTCACACCATGTCAATCTCTATACATGTGAAAGTTCACATCACAGTTAATATTCATGTCAATATTGACAACAATAAGGTAAGAAAGTTGAACCCATGTGCAAGTTTTCACATAATATGATTCTTTTACGTAAGTGTGAATGTCCACATCATGTATTCATCATTACAAGTTTAACAAAATATCAGTTTCGTACCCAAAAACAAAAAGAAAAAACACAAATGAAATACTAAGTTTGCCAAACCATTATTTTGCTTATCAACACAACACAATCTTATTTCAAAAATGAATATAAGAATCCAATGTAAAACACAATGTCGAAATGAACAATGTACATCCTATATCGGCTCCTTGCATGATTTGCGATTATGGCTCCCCAACTTATCATATCTCCCGCACCTTATTTGCTTCAGTTTCTCACCCCTTGATGGGATCCTATTCTTTTTCGGCCTACCGGGTGGTCTTTTCACAGTTGGTGGGTATATAGTGAAGTCCGTGGGATCAAAAGGCGGCTTCTCAACCGATGGTATAGGAAATATGGCACCCGAATAGGCTGCACGATATGTCTCTACATGAAAGTAATGTTCCACACAATCATTGAGATTGTAGCGGCTCTTCTGAATGGCAATAACAGCATGGTCACATGGGAATCCGTTGATTTGCCATTTGAAGCAAGAACATGTATGCCTCCCAATATCAACTGTAACCGATAGTATCGAATGAACTTCAAACACATCCTCATTGGCTTTGCTAACTTGCCAAGACCTTCTGTCATTGAACGAATCCATCAGCCTTGTTTCGAATGTAGGACAAATAAGCTCATTCCATTTGTTTGCTTGGTCACGCCGTGCAGACATTTGCCGCATCAACTAAGTACGAATTGTGTCCACCATTTGAGTGATAGGAAGATTACGTGCTTCTTTAATCCAGTTATTAAATGACTCCGTCGCATTGGATGTCATCTCCCCATAACGCATGTCTGTGCACAATGTAACAAACATTTTACAATACGGAATTTAACAAGTTTGAACATTCACGTTGACAGATGTGAACATTAACATTACCATCATTCGCAGTGAACATTAACATCAACTTAACTGATAGACAGATGTGAACATTAACATAAACTTAAATGATAGACAGATGCGAATGTTAACAACAACAGAATATGACAGATGTCAACGTTTAAATCTGTAATACATTGCATGACTGTTTGACAAATTAACAGATGTGAACATTCACATCATTCACATCAGTCATCATTAGCAGATGTGAACATTCACATCATTTACATTGAACATGAAACACAATTGGAAGATTGTTACCGTTCTAAACTGAAAATTCACGTCGTTGCCATTCTAAACTTGACAAATGGAACACCTTAGGAAACTATTATAACCTGAAGTATGAATTTTCCCAGTGCTCAGGTGCCAAGTCCTTGAAAAAATTATGAGCTCATTGTTTACTCTCCTCTTTTAATTTTGCAAACTTTTCATGGAACCCTACCACAGTTGGCTCGTAAGCACAGTCACCCAAACTACTTACTAGGTGATCCCTGAATCCATTATCAATTCCTTTCATCCGGTCTCTTAAATTGCTCTTCAAGTGTTGTAAGCAATAACCGTGATGAGCCGATGGGAACACCTTTGGCATAGCTTCTAACAGACCAAGATTACGATCCGAAATAAAAGTAATTTGGCGCTTATCGTCAACAACCTTCCCAAGTTCATGCAAGAACCACGACCAATTGGCCGTGGTCTCTGAATCAACAATCGCAAATGCAACAGGAAACAGACCTACAATACAACACCAATACATAACTGTTCAGAATATTCCAAAGTGAATAGAAAACAATATAAACGAAATAGGTCATGTGAATGTTTATATCTACATTACCCTATTACTATTGTTATTTTTGGATTCGGGTTCGTACACATCAACGATGTGAACATTCACATTAACGACCATTAATAATTCATTGTTGATTGTTAAGTCATTAATAATCTGAACATTCACAGTACTGTTCATTAATGGATCAACTGACATTAGTATACACTGATGTGAACATTCACATCAGTGTATAATAATGTGAATGTTTACATTACTGTCATTAGCAGACACAGATGTGAACATTCGCATCAGTGCATACTAATGTGAATGTTTACATTACTTATAATTTGTCAATCACTCATTTGTCCAGACTATGCTACTCAATGTGAATATTGACATGAATAGACAGCTAAAAAAAATACTAACCATTGTTTCTGTCTTTCGCCGTTGTCGTAAGTAGCTGACCTTTGTGCTTTCCTTTGAGGAATGTTCCATCCAGGAATAATAAAGGGCGACAAGAATTGAACCCAGAAATACACGTAGCGAATGACACAAAGAAACGACAAAATTGTTGACTACTCGCATCATAGTCAATATTTACATAACTCCCTGGATTGTACCGCATCACAATATTCGAATACCACCGCAGCTGGTCAAACAATAATAAGTGATCTCCATGAATACCAGCCTTTGCTTTCTCCACACCCAACCATACGACATGGTAACTCACATCTAGCCCATAATCCCTCTTCAAAATAGTCACCACATCACACGGCCGAGTCAACGGCTTGTCCCTCACAATTTCAGATATGGTACTCAACACTAAATCCGAACTAACTCGCGGATTCTTCGATGTTCGGACATCCGTACTACAACTATGCACATCACTAAACCTCTTGATGTAGAAAAAATCATTTGCTCGTTGTGTTCTACAATGTATAGCCCACAAGCAGTCTCTCTCCTCCCGCAACGCACACACAACAGTAACTCTTGTTGTCTCGTTCTTGACGTACGTAAACTGAAACCCACATTAGATGGCATACTTACATAAAACCTCATGAAATTCTTGTGCACCTCCAACAAACCGTTGTCCCACATGCGTAATACCATTTGCCCACGGGGCTGACAACAACACCTTCTCCTTATGGTGGAAAAATCTCTGTAGTGCATTAATTTCTTCCTCAACCCCCACACGCAGCGATCCCGAGCTACTTGACTGCCCAATATCACTTTTCAACTCAACCACAACTTCTACATGTTGTACCCCCATTGATTTAGCAAGTAGTAACATGTTCTGAAATTCTTTCTCATTGTCCAAATCACACCTATTAATCCCAGGTAGTTTACAGAACAATGAAATAGAACCAGCAGACAACTCATCCCACTTTTCACACAAACACTCCATCAAACGAGAATAACACAATGCACGGGAAACATTTATTACAGTGTACTGCAACCATATGTACACACCAACATCAAAAAGGTATCCATCTCCTATAAAAACACAAAACCACAACAACGAACAGTAATCAAAATCGATATGAACATTCACATTGTGCAGAAAATAGATGACTATGTGTACAGTTCAAGTGCTAAATCCATAATTCACATTAAGAGATGTGAACATTCACATTAATACATATACATATTCTTCGAATTATATCACCCACGCAGAGCCTCATAAAGCAAACATCAAGGTAAAATGAGACCATCAACAATCTTCACACAATATTAACAAGATGTCAACATTTACATTGACACATATACTCTGAATTATATCACACACACAGAGCCTCATTAAGCAAACATCAATTTAAAATGAGAACATCCACATTCTTCACATATTCCACATTAACAAAACATAAACATTCACATTGGTACATATACTTTGAATTATATCATTTAGACAGAGCCTCATTATAGATACATCAAAGTAAAATGAGAACTAAACATTCTTCACATAATCTGAATGAACTCCACTCCACAGGACCACGTAAAATGCATATAATTGAAAAAACAGAGCATCCGATCCATATCAATTCAAAAACAGAGCAACTGATCCATCATACGAATGAACATGTATTCATAACCAAATTGATACTAACCTTAATCACGCAATCCTACAATCGTCCAGAAACTTGAAAAAAACTGATTTGAACTAGTTACAGTCCAGCAAATGTGACAACCGAACACCTTCCTCTTCGTCGTCTTCACTCGAAAAGCACAGAACCAGACTACAACAGCAAGAATGAAACCCTAGCACATCCAAGCCTTGGGGCAAGCATGCAAAATAGAAACGTATCCCTCCGAAATGGAATGATGATGAAAATCGTAAAATAGAAATTGCCAAACTGAATCAGCGTGGAAACAAGCACGTAATATGTATTAACACTGTACATATATATATATATATATATGAGGGCAAAATAGTCCAAGTAAACATAGTAAATTAGAAAAATGGACCTAATGGAATAAAAAGAAAAGTTTATGGGACTAATCAGGTTATAATATTCTTTTGTGGATCTAATGGGTTATAATAACTCTAAAATGGATTTATCAATAAAAATCATTTTTTTTCTTGTTATTTTAGCCCAAAAAAAAAATCATATTCCTAACAAGACGTTATTTGGTTATTTGGTTTAAAGTTTAATATATATATATATATAAATGCTTAGGATCCCTTTTTTTGAGACCCCACAATCTCCTTTGGATCTTAATCATCGATGTATATATGAGACTCACTCATATATGTGTGAGGCTTACACTACCAATGGTTAAGATCCAAAAAGGATTGTGGAAAATCCGAAAAAAATGTCTAAATCATTATTCATATATATATATATATATTGTGATAAATATATACGTTAAAAAGTCATTGAAAAAGTCATTAGAAATTTGGTCAGAAAAGCGTCGGTGGTCGTAAGGTGGACAAATATGTGACATTTAATATGTATACAAATATGTTATATTTGAACAAATAGATACATAATTAAACTTTTTGATAAATAAGTATTATTTTGGACATATAATATATCTTCTTTTTTGTTTAATATTTAAATTTAGAAATATTCACTTAAAACAAAAACAAAAAAGATAAAGCCATAAAAAAAGAACTCAAGGAAAATACTAGATAGCACCCAAATAAAACAAAGGTAGGAAGAAATTTCAAGATTGTAATTATGTTACTAAACCAAAACTACAAATGACAAGCTATGGCTTCCTGCCACATAAAAGTAACACAAGAATCATGACGCAAGGTAAAAAATAAAAGAAGAAAAACACAACAAAAGAATGGGATGAAAAGTATATTCTGCAAGCTATTAGGCAATGACCAACTAATAAAAAGGTTGAAGTGAAGAAACACCATGTAACCAATAATGACATGGAACTGGGCTAAAATTATTGCCAGAGCATAACCCTATGCTAAACTCATCATTGCTATGTGCAGCCAATAAGATGCTCACATTCATGCACTAGCTATTTATATATATGAGAGAGAGAGAGAGAGAGAGAGACCTCCCGAATTGCTGTACCCACAAAATCACCGTTGTCACCATTCAACATTCCAGCTGGTAATTCCAAAATAAGCCTTCCAACAGGTACCCTAGCCTTAAACACACATTCTTATAAAGATCTCCATGAAATGAAAGAACAGAACACAATAAATCTCAGAATTGCTGTCTAACTCATTAGCTAACAATTATACTTATTTTAAGAATTCGAACACTTCATTAAGAATATAAAATAAAATACATGTATGGACAAAAACACAGTACTTGCTCAGTAAGCACAGCATAAGTCTTGCCATCCGACTCCAAAAGGATCAGCACAGCTACTGCTGGCCCACGTGCAAACACAATACCTGGAACCTAAGCATGTTTAAATTCAGTTGAAGAAAGAAAGAATGTAAAAATTAAAATTTAAAAAAAAAGACTAGGGCATGATCTAAATTCAGATGCAAAACACTGAGATGCTAAATCAAATGAATCCAAAGAAGGAAACCATCTGGCTGATGAAATACCTTCTTTCCTGTTGCCTTATCAACCACATCTGCATTGAACTTAACAAAACCAACACGCTTGCCAAACATATCGACCCCCTGTTACCAATAAGAGGAGAAGAGAAGTAGTACAAGAACAAGAATGAGAGGATGTTATCAGTAAGCACTCTTGCTTTAATATGTAAGCCAATCAGTTTTTGAATAAACCCAACAAAAAAGAAAATCTTCTATTTTTGATGTTACATTATATATACACATAATACAAAGCTCTCCCGGAGGCGCTCCCAACCTAGCAGTGCACCATGACAGTGCGGTTCCATCCCAGCCACCGGCCCCACTTCGTGCAACTAAGGGCCACACCCTTTATAAACCCCATCTTTCACTGTGCATTCATCAAGTATAGAAAAATAGTTGGATTGTGAAGTCAAAGTACTTGGTTCATGCACTGCAGTATTATGCTTAGTTCCCTTACCCTTCTTTGTGTATGGATCTCTTCACTCATTTGATGGTCCATCATTTTCCCACCTGAAACCTCTTCTTTCTTTTTTTTCCATTTTCTTGCAATTTTCCAACAATCTCTGTGACGCCCCGAATCTACACTATTAATTGCAGTCAAGGGAGAGTCACTAATGAGTCCTATGGTCAATAACCAAGTAAGATCTCAGATCGCCGGAGGAGTCAAATTAGCCTCCCTTCTAAGTTCGGCTTTCTTAGGCAGCGCATTACCCTTTTGACAGATCTTAAAAGGTATTGACACAAGGTCTCATAAGCAACGATAAGGTGTATACATATAAATATTAGAATATAAGTACATAACAACCATGAATATTCTTAATTTCAAAAGCTTGTTCCATTACATTACATCCCAAAAAGAAAATTTAAATCTTCATATGAGCCTTACAAAATATCAAAAGGAATTTCTAACTTTCCTAAGATAGCCAAAAGTCTTCGAAAGTTTCAGGCTCGTCATCTCCAGCTATAAGCTCCTTTTCGGCACCTGGCATGATACGCCGTGAGCTTTGACTGCCCAGTAAACACACACACACATACACACCCCGCATCTTTTTCCCAGTCCAATACACAATCATAAATATAACATCAAGTAGTAAAGCATGATACTCAACTAAATAAATAAAGGGTTACAAGTTAGATGTTAGTAAACTAGAAATCCCTCAAAGAGATTTCATCATCCCAACCACAAGAATCGGGCGCGGATTATTCGGTATGCCTCCTCTTTTGCTGCTTTGTTACAGAACTAACCTACCAACGGTTATATACCACGTAGCACCAACCGCAGGGCCTCAAAAGAGAAGGTAAAATAGGGCTTTGCCCAAATCCCTCCTCACACCAAATCACCTAGGGTCCGAATACAACCACTCCGTTCAAGGGTTCCGAAAACCACTTGCGCAAGACTTTAACTTCCAAATAGGGAACGCATCCCAACAATCCATACATTACAGATTATCATCTTTTCGCTACTCAAGTGATCGAAAACCCAATACCGTCCCGATTAAGTTTTCTGTGGAGTTAAATGTTTTAAAACAAGGCTAGACCAACTTAACAAGATAATAATATCCACATAAGCATGCATCATTAAGATGAAGAAGATAAAGAACATAACCATAACACATATAATATCATGGCAAGATATGATCACAAGCTAATAAGCATTTTCATGAACACAAGAGCATAAAACACCCATGCACAACAGAATTTCCAGGTTCAATATCACATAAGGATTAGAATGAAAGGACTATTTTAGATTTTTCACCGAACTCAGACTTCCCATGGTTTGTAGAGAATTTAATCTAATTTCCAGAACATATTTCGGAAATGGGATAGCTTTTCTAGATTCTAAGTTATTTAGAAAACACTCCAGCGCTGTCTAGATTCGTCGACCGTTACGAAAATTTGATTTTTTACAAACCGCTCACTGTTTTTCAATGAAACCAATTTTATTTGAAATCTAACTCCTTAAGGAAGATTTTGACATAAAATAGAGATCCAGAATAATTTTCTACATTTTTCTAGAAATTTTGAAAGTTGGCTGCGAAAACAGATTCTAAGGCACAATACCCAAAACAAGAAGATTTATGAGAAAAGAGATCCACTACGGGAAAATTTTCATTTCTTTTATGATGAAAACATGCTAACTAACATATATTAAACTCAAAAAATTTCTTGAAGGTGTGCCTTTGGAAAGTTTGAGAGATTGGTATGAAAAAAATAGTTTTGTACCGAAATGAGGGAAAATACAAGAGAGGTAGAATCATGGCTCAAATCTTATCATTTTTAACACAAGTAACTCATCAATAACACATCTGAAAACAATGTTTAGAACTCTTAAGAACATGTATTTGAAAAAGGAAAATGAAAGAGAAGGTTGTGTTGTGGCTTACTTGCTAGGCTTGAATCAAGAGTGCTCTCATCTTCCTTCCTCTCCCTCTCAAGACTCCTCTCTTGCTCTCCTTTCTCTCCTCTAGGCCGAATGTGTGTGTGAGTGTGTTGTTTGTGTTTGCCAAGCTAAGGAGTGGTGGTATTTATAGGCAAATTTTGGTGTAAAAAGACATAACGCCCACTGGTTGGAATTTGATGGAAAAGTTAGGATTTACTTGGAGTCTAATGGAATAGGGAGTGATTAGGGGACTTAATCATGGGATTAGACAATATCTAGTTGGTCTTAAGTTGAAATAAAACTAGTATTGGGAACAAAACCCTAGGTTTAGGGGTACTAGGTGCTAGGATCATAATTGCAATTCTTGAAAATAGGCCCTTCACACTTACCTAGGGTGGCCGGCCATGGGGATGGGAGATTGGGGCATTTTTTTTATTCAATCTAGGTACTAGGGACACATTCCCCAATGTATATATATATATATATATAGATCTCAAATTGATTGATGGTACCTATAGTCTAAAAGTACATGTACTAGTTTTGAGGAAATTCTTGAAATTAATAAAAGAAGTGAGGACTTGGAATTAAATTCATGTATTGGAACCTTACTTATGTAAGATTAAATTAAATTAAGCTAAGGAACCTAATTTGGCTAGGATATTCCTGTTTCGATAAAAAAATGCTAATCGACAAGATTCGAAATAATTCAAAGAACTAAGGGGCTTTAAGGAAATAATTCAAATATTAGGGTTTTAAAGACAATACATTTTTCAGGGGCTTCACATAAGGGACAAGAGTCCTAGAATAGGGGAGGATCTCAGTCTGGATAAAGATAAAGCTCTTAGGGAATTTATCCCTATCTAGCTGAGAGTCCAATATGAGCATTAAGCCTGAGTCCACTAAAGTGAGGCTTCTACAAAGATCAGGTCAGTGCTGGCTATAAAAGCAGAACACCCCTGTGGGTCTGAGGTATGTGTGATATACTGTGAGCAGTAAGTTATTTCTTGTGAGTTAAGCACAATTTGCTATCTTTAAGAGATATTTGATTACTGACTTGAGCGTTGGAGTGCCCTCGGGTGGACGAATCACCGCCAGACTCTTATCTTTCTGTGACAGGTTGTTTGGGTTTAATCTATTCTCCCAGTGCTCTCTAGCTAAGTTCCCCGTTTAGTTGTGTGGTCAGAAATCAACATCTACAATTTGACGCCGTCTGTGGGAACTGAGAGAGAATAGATAGACAACGACAGACAGAAAGAAAAGATTGGAGACGACATCCACATTGAGAGTGTTGAACATACAACCCTAACACAGGAGTGGAAAACCGTGATAAAGGAGCACAGGATCCTAATCTTGTGCAGAAGGACATTGGCAAGGAGGGTAACACCCCAAAGAAAGCAGGCCAAGACGAGTATTACAACGAGAGCGACCTTCAGGTATGGAAGGAAAAATACTTGAGGAGGAATGGTGAGATGAAGGGAATGACCAATAAGTTGGCAGATTTACAATCTGTTGTCAACTTTATGATGCAGAACAACGTCATATAACCACTATTTCCATTGCAAGACACGCCGATGCCAAGGGCCAAGATTGATGCCCAAAAAGGGGGGCAAAAAATAATCCCAACAGTCCCGCAACATGGTAGGGAAAAGGAGCCCTTATATCGGCCTTCACGGGATATCGGGCGAGGAGAGTTGGTTAGAGGTGACTAACAGAGGACACCTCGTACCAGGGGAACATATGTCAAAGAACCCCAGAATATCCAGCGGAAGAGCCTGTGCTTTGACACGATGAATGAAGAGAAGTCCAAGAGGACACATAACGACACCGGGAGTAGTACACCAAAAAGACTGAAATCTGTTGACAGCCGAGCTCCTTGTCAGACTAAAGAGGATTTGAGGGACTACCTACAGAGGAAGTGGTAGAATGCCGATGTCACATCCCTCATCAAGAGCCGATAACGTCATTCTTAGTGGAGCTGGATAGGTTTGAGGCCCCAAAAAGGTTTCAAATTTATGACATTAAATCCAATCCGAGCTTTCACGTTGGCTTATATCTAAATTCAATGGCTTTGTATACTAAGAACAAACTATTGCTGTGCAAGGTGTTCCCCTCATCCTTTAGGGAAATTGCATTGGATTGGTTTCACAAGTTACCAAAAGGAACTGTGAAGAGTTGGGAAGGCCTGGCCGAGATGTTTGATGCCAGGTTTGTTGCAAACAAGTTACATCCACTAAGGGTAGACTCCCTGATGGCTTTGAAAATTAGTGAGGGTGAAAACCTTACGGCTTATGCCAAAAGGTATTATAAGGTGTTCAACCGAATATCGGGACGTAACTAGGAGTTGGCAGTCGTGTCTTTTAAGAACAGCTTGGAGGATGAATGCACGCTTCGGAAGTCACTGGCAAAAACTCTACCAAAGAGTATAAAGGAGCTCATGGCATGGATTGAGAAATATGCCAGAGTAGAAGAGGATACGCCTGGAACGAAGGCACCGAAGCAGGAGAAGAGAAATGGCTCGCCGAAGCGAGGCCGAGGTAATATTGGTTTTAATAGGTAGGAAACTGTGGCTTGCTTTTCGTGCTCTTTTCGGATACGATTAGCCCCACAGTTCAGACTTCCATGGTTCTGAATCTAATTTCACAAAGTGAAATGTGAAATAGTGAAAACACAAAAGAGTCCAAATCCGACAATTATTTTGAAAAATCGATATTTGAATCAAATGTAAAAAATGGACTGTTTTGCCAGATTTCAAAGTCGCCACCTAAATATTTTTGAAAAATTTAGGAAACCCGTGACTCGTGCCAAAGACTACTTATCCGTCATCACCAAAGTTGTCTCAGCTCGGGAACTTAGGTACGAGAGGAGAAGGTCATGAATTGAGCACCCCACTCGCTCGATCAAAGATCGGCCTCGACTAATCATGATGTGATTTTTATTTACGTTTTATGCTCTTGTTCTAGTTTTATTTAGATTAACATTACTATGTGACTCACATAAGTATAAACTATTTTGCGAAGATTGGAACACTTTGATTTCATGTTTTATTTGAAAAATTATTTTTTGATACTCGTCACTTGAAAATATGAGTTTGTACATTAATCAATTTGTCCCAATTTTGGCAATTAGCCTCTACCTATTGGCATTCAAACAAGTATATCATTTAAGCAATTAGCCTCATGGAAATATACTTGGCATGGCAACACAAACATCCAATGCAAGATGCTAAAACTCAAAATTGCTCACTTAGTACTCTGAGCCAAA